CTGAGTGAGTGTTTTTAACTTGTTAGATGTTAGAGCTGAATCCAGGCCAACACACACACACACACACCCACACACACACACACACACACACAGCTGCCCTACTTTCAGAAACCCTCTGTTGTTCAACAACATCCATCTATCTCACAGGTCACTCCTGTTGCCTCCAAGGACAAACAGCCCATTAGCTAAATGAGCCTGGGGTTCGTGCACCTGTCCCACACACACACACACACACATACACACACGCACCTACATTCATATACACAAATGCAGAGCTGTTCTTGTTAGACCTGAACATTGACTTTCATTCATATTTACAGTCCAAACAAAGTCTTAACCCTTTACTGACACCAGAGCTAACGTTAGCTACGACAGTCCTGGTACAGACACCAGAGCTAACGTTAGCTACGACAGTCCTGGGACAGACACCAGAGCTAACGTTAGCTACAACAGTCCTGGTACAGACACCACAGCTAACTAGTTTGTCAGTATATAATTAAAAATCCTCCAGTTAATGACATCATCACTTCATCTGGACTCAAAGTGACACAGTTGGGTTAATCCAGTGTGGGAGATGGTTCTGGAATCTTTCTGTCCTGAAATACAACATGAGGAGGAAATGTTCTGAACCACTTTCTCTCCTGAAACTCTCTGACCTACTTTAAGGACTTATTCCAGGGAGTCTCTAATAACATCTTGTCATTCATCAGTCACAGCTCCACTTTTGGAGCCTGGAATTACGGCTGATACCAGGAGAAGTTTCTGGGCCTCAGCGAGGACTTCTGGGAGAGAGGGAGAAAGTTTAACCCTGCTCCTGCTGTTCCCTGACTCCACCTCCACCGTCCAGAAGGTCCATCAGTCCACTGTCCATTTGTCACGGCACAGAACAACATACCATCCACCGGGGGGGGCTGTTATTCCTGGAGCCTGGGATTCTCTGAACAGTTCTTTTCTCTCTGGGCTCTGACGTAAACACGTTTCCATCTTCACCTGATTTATCTTCATTTCCCACTGGAGGAAAAACAAGTGGTCAGAGGAGACGTGGACCCAGGAGGACAGAGTGTAGGACACAGGAGCGAGGTTCCTTCCTGGAGCGGAGATGTTTATGGAAAACCCTCCTGGTCACATCCTGGCTCTGCCGGGAGTCGGCCGCCGCCGCCGCCGCCGCCGCTGCTGCTCTGGAACTCTGGGTCCTCCAGTTTGTTTGGCTTGACCTTCAGAGGTCAGTGCACCAGAGGTTGAGCGCAGACTTGGCGGACAACAGCGCTACGTGCTGCTAGCGACATTCTCTGCAGCGTTATCTCCTGACGGAGGTCGGGGCGGGGTCACAGGAAGAGGTTGATCAAACAAAGAAGGAGAGGTGGGCAGGTTCTGAACTTTGGAACCCGTTCTCCACCGACGCTCAGCCGCGGAGACACCGGACCAACAGGAAACTGTCACCGCAGCGATGTTGACGTTCAGGACAAACCCAGGAGCCGCTGCTCCCCCCTCACCACTAACTGCTTGACCTTTTCTGACAAAAGCAAAGACATTTTTACAACTTCATCTTCTTCATCGTCAGGTGCAGGCGTCGACGTGACCTCTGACCCAGACGGAGGCGTGTGATCACCTGATCATGTGACCGTGTCTCTGCAGCCTCCTCAGAGGTGCAGGAGTGGAGCGGGTCGCTCCGTTCCGTCCTGTTCCTTCCTACCATAATGAAACCTCAGAATTCTCCAGCCGCTGAGCTCCTTCTCCCTCGCCGCCGCAGGAGTCGTAAAAACTCACCTAAACACGCCGCTACGTTTAGTTTGGAAACACGAGGACCAGTTATTACGAGGTTTTTTTTTTGTTTTTTTTTTTCCTCCAGCTCTGCAGGAGTTCTGGTCGGCATCGTTCCCACAGCTCAGTAATTATTAACAAGAGTAGAAGTAGAAGTAGAGGACAGGAAGAGGAAGAGCTTCATCCTCCATATCCTATCATTATATCATATATTCTTTTTTTGTATAATAATAATCATTAATATTTTATATAAATCCTCCTGTCGTTGACCTCTGGACCTGGACTCAGACTCAGACTCAGACTCGGTCGACCGCGGCTCACCTGTCTTAAAAACCTCGTAGCGAACGGAGAATCCGGCTCCATGAGTCTCGTAGTCGGAGACGAACTTGATGAGGAGCTGACTCCCGCTGGAGATGATCGGAGGAGGAGCGATTTTCCCACAGATCTTCCCGAACGTCGGTGAAAGCTCATCGCCGCCGTTGTAAACTTCCACGTAGTCGTACCTGGAGGGAAATAAGAACGAGAGAGTTTTTACTAATTAGTGTAAAAGTTCAGATGATTTGAACCTGGCTGGTGTTTTTAACTGTCTCTCTCTCTCTCTCTCTCTCTGCTGGATTTATCAGAGCTGTGGTTGTTTTTACTGCAGGAACGTCCACAGCTGCTGAGCATGTGCCTGAGTAATGCTGCTGCTGCTGCTGCGGAGCGACAGCCTCTCGTTAGAGAACCTGCTCCAGGCCTGAAGAGTTGATTAGCAGAGCTGTGGTTTAAAGGGCTGTTTCCACTAATTTCTACATGTGAAAGTCAGTTTACGAGGCTGAACAATGAGAGTTAGGAGTTAGAAGGGGGAGTAGTGGGGGGGGGGGGACCAGCATGTGTTTGAATCCTGCTAACTGAACGGCTAAGGGTCGAACACCAGGAAGAGTCAAAACTGAATGGCCCAGTGTGTGGCTGAGAATCGAACACCAGGAAGAGTCAAAACTGAATCTTTTCCATCTGATCTGAGACAGAGAGATATCTGGAGCTAAAGGTTAGCCCTGGTAGACTGGACATAATGAACTGTGATTAGCACGACTTCAGACTAAATGAAAATGAATCTAGAAATGAACAAACAAACTGTATGTAGCTGTAAACGTTAGCTCAGTAATATGAGAAAATGCTAACATTAGCACCGAGGTGTGATAAATGTAGAAAATATATCTTTGGTTTGACTGAAGTTGATCAAAAAGACAGAATTCACTCAAAAAAATATTTTTTAAAAATAGCTCAGAGTTTGTGCGACGTTTGTCTAATTCAACCCAAATATAACTGACAACTGACAACTGACAACTGACAGCTGTGATGTCACACCGTGGTCACACAGGAGCCTCGTTATCATCAGAAACCTCCTCTGAAAACATCTGCTCCAGATGGGAGCGCCACCTGGTTTTGCCCTTGAGCAAGGCATTAGCTACGGCCAGCTGGGTCTCTGAGGGTGTGAGTGAGTGTGAGGGCTGGTAT